TCATCATCATCATCATCATCATCATCATCATCATCATCATCATCATCGCTTGTTGATGGACGGTGATGGGATATCCCCAATCTCATTATGTTTTTAATCAAGGATATGATGGAGGCAACTCTAGAGACAAAGTTCTGGTGCTGCCGCGCGTGACTTTTCCAAGCGCTTTGCCGAAAAAGACAAAATCGCAAACTCTCCGCAGGTGGATGTGTGCTGATTTGTGCTGATGGACGGACACTTTGCGGATGTGCCACAAAAGGATTGAGGGTGAGCTCCAGGTTCCTAGTTTGTTCACAACATAGGTTGCTTGCAGCATGTCGATTAGCGTGGTACTGGTAGCTGGTGGTAGCTGGAGTTGGTTGTTTTGACTCATACGGAGTTTGACCCACCATGACACCGCGCTTTTCATCACAGCAGAGCTGGACATTTGCTTTGCATGTTTATCCACCAGATGAGGACGGAAGAATCCATGCACCGTCCGGACCGAAGGAATCCATGCACCAAGCCAGAAACACTCCCCGGTGCGCCGACCAACGAATTGGTTCTGTGGTTTTTCCAACGAGAATTCCAACGACGCAGGTCGAACTTCCGGTTCGTTGCCTCCGCGGAACCTGACTGAACAAGGCCGGCAAAAGGTTGATCGCTTCCAGCACCACGGTCACCGCGTCACAGCATCAAGACCAGGAAGCTGGAAATAGAAATCATCAACAAGTGCATCGCTTCTAGTAACAAGTCCCTTACTACTAGGAACAAGTAATTCCAATAGCTTCTTGTTACTACTAGTAAGGCACCTGTTACTACTAGCGATATGCTTTCCCATCTCTTCGGCTGAATTCCTTGAACCCCAATGAACCCCACCTCACTCATCCTCTCACCCAAGACAAAGTCCCAATTTGGGCGCGTCTCGTTTCGCCAAGTTCCGCAGATTGAAGGACCCCATATATAGATCCCTATAGACTATAGACATCTCTAGACTCTCCCCATAGGTATCCCAGTAGGGTCACTATCCTCATAGTAGGTACCCCAGTAGGTACCGCCGGTGACGCGTCCTGTCAGGGTCACCGGCGACACCCCTCGTTGTTCGCTTCGGACGAACGCCACTGAGGCTCACGGGCGTCTTCCGCGGCGCGGTGTCGCAGGAGTTCCTCCGGTGCCTCGGTGCGCAGCCGTCGGTGGGCGGCGGTTTGCGGGTGGGTTCCGTCCTCGATGTGGGCGGAGGGGCGGTGTCAGGAGATGTTTCAGCATGAACTTGGTGGGGAAAAAGATCCGATACTTGTGCTGTGCATGAAAAAAACGCTTTCCATCCATCCTTCCCTCCTTCACTCACTATTGGGGGGAAGTCAACCAGGTGGATATCATTCGTCAAGGCCCGGGCCTTGAAGAGAACGACGAGGATCAACGTGGTGGGATCCTGATGGCCACCCCCAAGCGCCACGCCGCACCCCTTTCCGCGGCTTTCAGTTTCCGCTTTCGCTGTGATCAGACCTGAGGGCCACACCATTGATCAATGTTACCATGTTCATGTGTTCATCATGTCCCACAAGAAGCAGTACCTGATGAATCAATGTAAACCTACTCACCTTCTTGGTCAAAACCGCGCTCAGTTCACCCCGGCCTAATGTAGGTACAACAATGTGCATCCCATCGCCATGGTCATTCCTACACCGTCCTGGTCCACAAAGACCTCAAAAGGTTCGGATGACTCCCAAAAACTGCAGCCACGTTCCCCATCGAGTGGATTTCTCTTTAAGGTTGCCCCTTACCACCCTATAACATGCATAAAACATGCATCGTTGGCGAACCATTATGCACTGGAATCGGGTAGCGCAATGTCCAACTCGATGTGTATTGAGATAGGGAGACCTCCCAAAGACCTCACAGGACAAACATAAACAGCTAGAAATGGCTGCGGCTAACCTAAAAGCCCAGTGGTTGTGGGTGTCCCTATTTCGAGACAAACCCGGATGCCACACTCCCACTCACTAACAACATGGATAGTGAGTGGATGAAGCCCCCTGTTTGTAGATCAGGGCCCTTTCTCTTCGCGTCGGGCCTATGCGAAATCCACTTCCATGGCGTCACCTCAGGTTGCGGAGGGCCGACCGACAAAGCTCGCAGCCCAGGCGGGATGGGAAGGTGGGAGGTGTTTGGAGTTCAATTCCATGGAGTGAAGCAACCTCAAATCCATCCTCAATAGGGAGGCCAAAAGCTCCATCGGAACAGTGTGCGACCAACAAACTCCAAGTGTTCCAGAGAAACCCAAACATATTCCCCAAATAGTTCCTCTTGTCGGCTGGCTTGTTTTCTAAGCCGACACGAAAATTGGTTGAAAGCAAGAGATGTCTTAGTCTTTGAACCATGTTCGCCTTCGGAGGCCTCGTAACCAGGCGAAAAGGGTCACCCTAGGGGTGCTGCAGCCCAGATATCAGGAAAAGAATGTTCCATGAAACCTACTTCAAATTGCCCCCCGAGAAGATGTTCTTAATAAGATGGAAACTTGGAAGTAATTTCTTGGGAAACCTTGAAGATTCCTGATCCAATCCATAATTTTAGGCCTGGCCTCCGCTTCGGAAGCGAAGAGGACCCTTATGCTGCAGGAGGCTCGCCATCTCTTCTCGCCATGCATTGCCCAGGAAGAGCAGCTCCTCATTGGGGTCCAGTCTCTATCGGACGTCCGGGACTTGGAGAATTCCCTCACTTCGGTCCGTGCGAGTTGGGAGGTTGATCTGAATCTAAAGGCTGCGCGACTTGCGTTAGCCGTGAAAAGGGTTTTGTATTTATACAATCATGAATATTGATTCCACCATATGTGTTGTGATTATACTGGTCCCAACCAAGCAGGAAGTGACCTCATCATTTATATAACATTGTATATACATTTTGGAAATGTCTTCGATGGCCAAGCCAAGTACACGACACACATGAAATAGGTAACATGTTTTTACGATTGCTGTATTTTGTTTGCTTACACACATAAATCATCAAGATGCCAGTAGAATCGTTTGATCCGCAAGTGAATTTGGGACATGCCACGTGTCATGCACAGACGTATTCCATTGTATTCCAACCACCAGGACCCTCCAAAATCAGTTTTTGTGGGACACAACGACAGGTGGTGTTTGAGCACCTCACCAGGAAACACTGAATGTTGAAGGTTTCGGTTTCAGGTATTCATGGTCCTCATGGTCAATTGAACGATAAACATGAAAAAAGCTCCATTTACTTGAGAAAGAGGATCTTCGGATGCGAATCGCGGAAGGGGGTTGGAAGCGGGGCTTGGCGAACGTCCACGGAATCCACAAAAAGGTTCCATCCGTTCTTTGGGCAGTGAGGTTGGTCGCGAGCAAGCCGCCCCTGGAGCATCCGGCCAAGATCTCAGCATGCTGGATTTGGGCGATCTTAGGGAATCCGGGTGGGGCGAGTAGGAGGTACAGGTAGGTACCCCAAGTCCCAAGAGATCTTGAATTCGAAAAGATGTTGTTCCATGTTTGCACCTAACTTGGGGCAACTTGTGTCATCTACTGTCAATGCACTATACTTTAAAGCACTTTGGTTTTGGGTCTTGGTTTTGGAGTCCCGTATCCACTATGAACCACTTTTGCTCCTTATAGCATGACCATTTGAGATTGGAAAGGTTAAAAGTCAGAGACGCTTTAGTTACATGATTGTGAGCAACAGCTACGAAGAGAGTTTCCCCTCAAGGCTTTGACTCACAAGGCCCCGCAAACTCTCACGACGGCTTGTTGGATTGCGCACGTGCCGATCAAAAAAACTCCCAACAAGGTCTCTGAAGAGTCCTCTTTGTTGTTTTGATCCACATACTCCGATGACTTGACCGTTAGGGTGTGCATGTAGGCTAGTCCAGTGGTGGAACCTGGTATGGTATTGTACTGGTATGCTTTCCTGATGTGGTCTACTATAATAGTATTTTTTTCATGATTTTACGATGCTTACCATAGAGCCATGCTTCTCGAGCCTGTCAGGGTGTTGTTTTGCATTATAAGTTATAAGGTAAACTGCATGTCCGTGCAAATGGGAAAGTGGTGGGACGTGGAGGGATGGGTGTAGAAAACCAAGTCATAGAAGCGTCCATGCCATCCGCTTCCATGGAATGTGTTCGCAGGGGAGGGTAGGGTAGGGTAGGGTAGGGTAGTGTTTTTGATTGACTATGCATCTCTCCAAATGGCTCCATGTGCGGAATGGACTCAGACAAACTCCAGACTCCAGAAGCGGCCTGAGGATCCCGAAGAAGCGGGTGTGGTGATCATCGCGCCGGGGATCTCGGACTGACGATTGGGGTGTCTTTTTGTCCAGCAAGAAACCTCGCTGTCCGAACTAACTCATCAGGTATGAAACATGATGCAGAATCCAGAAGGAGTTTAAACATTTGAGCATGTCGAAGGGTGGCATTATGGATCTAGCTTCTTTTAAGCTGGGCAAAAGCCTAACAACGCAGCCAGGGTTGCTGACGGTTTGTTGTCAAGCCTACGGTCCGTACGTACTTTTTGGCGAAGAAGAAGAAGAAGAAGTCTGGATTGACCAAGAGAACAAGTTGAAGCAGAAAAGCAAGCAAGGCGGAAGCGGCTCTGCAGGGAAAAGGGATGTACAGGGTACAGGCTCGCGGCTAGATCATGAATCACTCTTTAAGTGGCTCACTTGGATAGACAGACACCTGCTATACCTCACCACCGGTCGAGAAGAGCACGACGATTGTCGTAAAAGTTTGGGATTCAATTTCAATCAAATTCAGATATTTCAGATGCTCAACCACATCCATCGCCCCACACCACTTCTATAAAAACCGCACGCTCGCGCGTACCCAGGACGGGTGGCCGCTCCTTCTCCCTGCTTTTCCCTGCTGGCCGGCATGAGCGCAGCTCGGAATTCATGGGCTGAAAGGATCTAAGACCCTTTCGAACAGATGAACATGGCGGTCTTGCGTGGGGGTCTCGTATGTTCCCATGTTCTATTTGATCAGTATCTTACCCAATGGATAGCCAAAAACAGCCACCTCAATGCTCAGGACTTTTCTGCAGTCTTTGGCATTCAGTTGGTGTGCTTGTTGTGTTTCCGAGGTGTTTGATTTGGCTTTCTTAAGCAATCGTCCTATGTGTTCATGGAAGAGACCATGCAGAGCACCACCTCGAGATTTCATGGTGTCCCAGTATTTACTGTGGTTTCCCTGGCCAGTTCCAAACTTCCTCAACAAACTGGCCTCATCCAACGTAATCCGCCTTATAGTCGATAACGGGGAATTATGGATTACAAATCATCGGATTTCCCGGTTCTTCGGTGGGATGACAGATTTGAACACCACGCGGTCCGGTGAATCATGTGAGGGCCGTCAGTGAAGGAATTTAGATGAAATGTTAAAGCAAACATGTCGCGAAAGGGAAACGGCAGTCCGCGATAGGACGGCGAAAGACATGTGCCAACCTACATACAATGTGCATAATACATGACACATGCTTTTTCCCGAACAGAAACACAGATTTGGCGAAAGGGCCGCGAAAGGCCGGCGGTAGGCCCGCGAAAGGGCGCATTGCCTGGAAGGGCATTTGCCCATCCATGGTCTTGAAATAAACCTTGAAACCTTTGTTTCAAGTATGAATTGACAAAGGGCAGCCTGCTTCTCAGCACACTAAAAGGGATTTAGATATCCAAACACTGTGAACTCAGGGCAATGGAACAAGCTCATCACAATGCGCGAAAGGAAAACCTGTGGTTTTTCTGCAAACGCGAAAGGGTGGCGAAAGGCCGGCGACACAAGCTCAAAAAGAAGAGCTTTGTTGGACAACCCCATGTGCAGCTGTGTCTTCGATCGACGGTGGGAGTGGAGCTCCGCTCTCTACGCCGGCTCAGGCGATGAGTTTGCTGAGTCGGGGGCACCCAGACTGACAGGGGGAGGACAGTCACACAGCTCTGGGACTCACAGCTCTGGGAAGCTTCAAGCTTCGATTTCGAATGATTTCGATAATAATTACCTTTCATTTCAAGACCCAACCACTTCATGATCTTCATGGGACTGGAATATCTTGTAGACATTTGTAGACATACATATATATATATATACACATGCTGTGGAAGAGACCCACATGGAACCTGAAAGTCACTGGCTTGTTAGAGTAAAACAGCGAGTTCTCCCTGTCACTATGCTTGTCATGCTGCCTGGCTGCCTGTTCGCAGACACTACGCATGATGAGGGACATCAGGGGACCATTTCGGGTCCATGTGAGTCTGGACTCTACATGTCCCCTTGTTCAACCACCAACCGATCGGTCTGTTTGATACTCCGCCCCATGCGGCCGGCCCGGCCTCGACGTGGCCGGAAAGCGTCGTGACGCCGGTCAGGGGCACCACCTTCGCCGTTCAGCGCTTGCGACGGGAAATGGGTACCATGGCCGAATGGGGCGAGTTCGGATGGGAGCGGTTTGCGAAGTGACCGTAGCGGTCAATCACCGTAGCAGCTAGCAGACTGCCCCTGACTTCGGGAGATGGCAGCGAGTGTTCGGGTTTTGCTTCCATCATTTGCGTGGCTTCGAGCATGAACGCATCACGTGGACGACAGTTTTTGTTGTTCTAGAACCAAACACATATAGGACCTGGAGAAGCAGAATATCGATATGTTTCTAGATTGGGGCTGTTATAGAATATCAATATAACATTGTTTGTAGCACCTGAGCACCTTTTATCCTAGGTGAGATGACCCAAGGAGAATTTATGTTTGAGTTTCAATCATCTAGTGTACCAGATGCGCTCATTGCGTTCTTGCATACACGTGTAATACATTGTAATGATGCAAATATATCATGCATATAATAGTAACGTAAGAACATGTTTTGCATCGTTTATCATATACAATGTTTTTGTGCTATCGTTTTGGCAATTTCGGTTCCACCCAACTTTGCCTTTAAGAAAATAATGCCGACACTTTCGCACAAAAACACCATACATCTCAGCAGCAGCTCACATCTCATGGCTTTGATCCACTCCCCACTCCGCGCAAAGAAGACACTTTGTTGACTCCGCCCAAGGTCCGGGCCAAAGATGGCTTCGTGAAAAGAACAACTCAATCCAAATACCAAACCCCAAAACATCCCAAAACCATCCAAAGCACTAAACCCATCTAAACCCAAACCCCCAAAAAACCGCCCCCGCAGCACCTCCGTTCGCCTTTTGCCCGGCCGGTCCCACCGTTGGTGGTGCTCCCCCGTGGGGAAGCAGCGAGGCCGACCGTGCAAGTTCTGAGTCCGGTCGCGGGAGCTGCGTGGAGTTTGGAGAAACGGAGGGGAGAGAAAGTATAGGTGTTTGGTGCCGCATTATACACTAATTGTTTGTTTGGAGTATCTACAGAATTGTAATATGTTGGTACCATCCGTGAAGATAGGGCCACGTTAGGTGTGCCACAGTGAGAATCTCCGCCGCCTGTGAACTCGCGAAGTGTCACGCTCCTAGAGCACCATAGCAGCGGGAGCAAGGCCTCCCGGTTTGATTCAAGACCAGAGCAGAAGAGACAGAGATGTTTGTCCCGGTGAGTGAGGGTCAGATCCAAGATGTGAGACGTCTAAATCTCCAAGGATTAGCAGGAACCATGCATTCATTAATGTTTGTTGGCTATTGGTGGCTCAAATCATGGCAGGACATTCCCAAAACTGCTGTTTTGGATTCGCTGCCTTTCACTTTGTGGATCCAAAGTGATGCAGGAGTTGTTTCCATGTTGAATTCCTGATGTTTTTCTTGGAGATTGACACTGTGCTTGCCGTTGACATGTATAGACTGTATAGATATATATATATAGTTAGCCATAGCATGTTTAGGGGAGCCTCAAGGTCCCCTGCTTTGTTTGTTGGCCATTGTCAAAATCTGTTTCATTTTTTTTTGACGCCTGGAACGCCCAATCTGATGTACGGTAATGTGAACTACATCACTGGACCTCAGTTGCACGGTATATGGTGCACAAACACTAGGACCTAGGAAGCTACTTCCTGCATAGATCCTGACAAGCTTCTCACTACCGTAGACCACCAAACAACAAGTTGGCGAGTGAACATGTCCATCCGCCTACCGCAGATAGCCCAGTAGGCTATGGCCAATTCCTTCTTGACGGGTCTTGGCTTCCGCGCTTCGCCGCTCCTCCACTCCGCGTCAGGCCAACTGGACTCTGGAGCAGCTGGCACGACGGAGAGGCTGCACTCCGCTCGGGAGCTCATGAGGAGAACAGTGAAGGACCCTGGCAAGGCCCTGGAAAGGATCTAAAGGGTCTGGAGGTTCAATTTCGCACAACTGTTGCAGAAACACATGTTTGGAAATTAAGAACTGGGAAACATTTGGGAATATCAAATATCCATTCATCCATGTTCACCCAAGACCTATCAGTGATTATCAGCGTGTTGATCCCCAAGAAGTGCAAATCGGATTCCATGGGTGTTGTTGTGTACCCCCTCAGCAACTACTCTACATCACCCAGACTGTTTTCCTCAAAGACATGGTACAGACGTAGGGTACAGACGAGGGAACATCAAACCGAATTTGGCCTGAGGACCAACTGAACTGACTTGTCCATCTTTTATTTTAAAAAAAATAAGTTAAGCTGTTTTGTTTCTATCTTGAGACACCCATGTTCAACCTATATAGATGCTCCGGGTGACGTTAGTTTGTCCTAAATATACTGATACTGATTATACTGAACAAAATTAAGAACACAAATCATTTCCGAGGATTCGGAAGGTTGAAAAAAGAATGAACCAACATGGGTTCCCCAACACAAGAAGGAAAGCAAACACAAAAACATGGAAAAGCTCGCATGTTTCTTCATCTACATCTCAGATCGTCTGGGCTCCCGGCGAGACCGTGCCGACGGTGCGCCGAGGGCGGCTGCCTTCGATGGCTTGTGCCCGCACAACGCCTCTGCGCGTTGGAGGAGACAACCGGTGGCCTGGCTGGATACGCGGGAGATATGGGGATATGGGGGGAGAAGATGGGGGGCATGGGACGTGGTTCTTTAAACCAAACAACGGCAAAAATAATGAAACACATCAAGAAACGGGTCACACCAGGAAGTCAAACACTTGCACACATGGAATGGAACTGTTTTTGTTCATGTGTGTTGGAAGAAGATGTACCGTTGGCGTTGAGCTTGCTTCTCTTGCAAAAAATAAAGCACCATTAAGTGCCATGATGTAAAAACATGTGATTCCTTGGATCATTGGCTTTGAAGGGAAAGCACCTGCTAGCATTTGGAGAGCCGGAAGCGCCAAATCTGTGGGTGTTGTGAGACCTACTCCGAACCTACTAGTCCGTCTCATCCAACCCTCTAGAACCAAATTCCTTCGATGGTGTAGTTTGACCGGTGTTGATGGCAGCCCGTCGTGAAAAAACTTCTGGAGGTGCCAAGCTGAAGCCTGATCAATCCTACATCGCAACTACCCATCCAAAACAACAACAAAAATTAAAAATCTGTAGTAATTAAGATGTATTGTAACATTAATGTATTAAATTATATATGATGTATTAAGGTTAGTTCGTTTTGCAAGGCATTGTCAGGCTCTTTATGTGACTGCTGACTTCGTTTTTACTTTCTTCGCACCCCGGCGCCGAGCGGCTGCGGTTCGAGGTGCTCCGGCGCTGGAGCTCGGCGAAGTGGGCGTTGTTGAGCTACTCAGACAGACACCTCTCAAGGCTGACGAGGTGGGAATGCAGTGAAGTAGGGTTAACAGCATGTGTTGAATTAGAAGTTTTAGACAGGAGTTAGAGGTAAGTGATCCCAGGTTGCATAGAATTAGAAAGTGTTGCATGGTCATGGTACCTTTCTACTTTCAGTTGTGGCTTGTTTCGAATGGAAGACGGCCCCGAAAGGAAGACTCTCCTTTTGTTTGCACAGACATCCAGTCGCAGAACCAAGCAGGTGTGCTACTACAGTCCAACTAGCAGATGGTCCAGCCACCAGTTTAGGAGCTTTCTGTGTTCGAATCCACTGGGAACTTGCGCCAAAAAACTCGGATGACCATCCTCCAGAGCGGGTCGGATCCCTCATTCCGTGACCGGTGAGACCGAGTGACGTGCGGATCCCGGATCCTGAGAGGCCGAGCTTGGTGGAGTTCCAGGCATATCATCCGCAGTACGATCTCATCTTCGAAGAGGAGGGGTTCTGGTATGTTGATGTATTTGTTTTTTTCTCTCACGAAAAAGATGCAAAAAAATCTCTACAGGCCAGGACACGGATCATCATCCTAGGCCGCCAAGTTCTAAAGTTCCAAAGGTTGTGGCAAGAGATAGGTGGGGTTTGAGCGGAAAATGACTGGCCCCAACAACAAAAGAAAAACACAAAACAAAACACATGATTCTATATGTGTTAAAATGTGCAGCACGACTATTTAGTATTTCAAGTCCTGGTCGTTTTTTTCCGGGCAAAAGAACTCCGAGCCGAGGTGCATGGCATGTGATCCACTTGAACTGGTGACTCACCCATCAGTCGAGCGGCCCACCCATCGCTGACTTCACTTCTGACAGCCGGACGCCGGCCTCCGTGTGCGGCAGATGTTGAAATACATTGAAATACCAAACGAAAGCGGGGGGTCACCTTGAAATCTTCCAAAAATCAACTATAAGTGGTAAGCGTGGGCATATAGGAACTTTTGTTCCACATCACTGGATGTCATATAGGAAGATATAGACGACCACAATTGAACGCATGTTTCTTCCAAATGCACATTGTTCTTCTCAGACTTGCCTCACTTCTCCTCAGACTAGTGCCCACCGGGCGCCCTCCGCGGTCCCACCGGAGCACGCCTTGCAGGAGCCTTTGTTGGACCGACGAGACTGGCACCCCGCGTGGAACAAGTTGGCCCACGCCCGTCGCGCGGCGAACTGAGACTTCGAACCGCGCTGAGCCGGGCGCGACCGGCGGAGCCGGGGGTACCCGGCGCCTGTGCGCTCGGCGGTTCGTGCGCTTGGCCGGTTTAGGTGTTCAGACTTTCGGACGTAGTGGGGACGCTCGTAGTGTCTATGTTTGAGGTGTAGTCATCAAGTGGATCGCAGGCAAGAAGATTGTTTCAATCAAGCAGATACCGCACAGCGATCGCCACTCAGTGGACCTATATTCTCATATGCGTCATATGACTCATATTCTCATGTTAAGTATTCCCACTCCATGTGAGGATGACCGACTCCTTTCTTGTCCAGCTCAAGTGGAGACTCATGGGAATTCGCTGAATCCACCGTTGAAATTGATATCCATCACAACTCACAATCCAGACACTCCATGTATGTATTTGCATACATTGGGGTGGTTTCAGGCAGTTCTGTTTGGATAATCGAACTGAGCTGAACTTCAGCGGGTTTGCCATGAACCTTCTTTTTCGGCGCATCAAACAAAACGAAACATGCACTATGCACCTTATCCATGCAGGAATGTGACAAAGAGATTCGGCTCGATATTAACTTAACAAGGTTGGCTTGCAGGAGCTCCACTGTGCTGATGTTATTTGTTGTAAGTACCAACAAACAGATGCGAAGGAGTGAGTGTGCAGTTAAGCATGGTACCTGTTTTTGTTGGGGAGTGTCATCCTTGTTGGGCGCATGCTGCATGTTCATGCATTTTCGTGTATTCTAGGACTATCAAAAGACGTTTCGGAACCACCGACCTGAGCCAACCTCCGGCACCTGCCGATCGTGCCGATCAGTGTGTCAACATCAATTCCACCTCAGCCGGTGCTTTTTTCAGGTCTTGATCCTGGGGACCTACGAGGCCGTGGTGTGCCTGGATGATGACATCTTGATCCGAGACCCCGTGTCTGGAGCCTTGGCATCGGACGAAAGGACCAGTCGGGTCGATTTGGAGTCCGGTTCGGTGGCGAGGTTTTGGGTGAAGCGACCTATTTCAGTTTTTGCACGTGTCAAAACACACTGTTGTTGGGTGCTGTTTTCAGACATTTGCTTTCATTTTCAACCTTTACTTGGGATTATTGATCCCACTATATAACTTATATTTTTGCGCTTGTGAGTTGAAACCACCAACCAGTTTGCCTTTGGCAGCACCTGAGGCCTGACCCTCTGGGAGAAGCCATTGCTGCTTGGTGCAGACGGGTGGAGAGCCCCTGGTGTTCTTGAGTGAATGCTTCTTTGCTTCTTTTGAGCGTTGAATTCCACACCGAGTACGGTCATGGCCAGAGTGGTTTAACCGTGGACGGCACAAACCTCAACAGGTGAATCCATATAATTATAGTATAGTATGTATAGACCCTCCATCAAGAGGCCAGCGATCAGCAGGTTTGTGCCACCTACCACTACGTGAAAGGTCTACGTGGCAAGTGCCCTTCCGAAGTACAACTGCTCGATGAACCCGATGGCAGCTCGAATGATTGATCGGATCGGAAGGGAAGCTGACAATGCTTGGCCTATGCTGGAGGGAAGGTTGCCGCATCAGCCACATGCCTAGGGTTTGAGGCCAGTGAAAGCTATGTGTTCTGTATAGGTTGATCTCACGCTGTAAAAGGATGGTGGGCTCTATGCCCATTTCAACAACAATAGTACTCAGTACTCTATGAGAGTCTCTATGAGGTATTAGGAGTGGTGGGGCCAACAAGTTATTGTCCATAAAGGATTGATCATTGGTTGGCACCATTTTGAATTTGTTTAACATGTTCCAGCCATTCCAACCGGGTGATCAGTGATCAGCAGTCCGGAAGAAGATTCGGGAGTATGTCCCTTTCGTGTCAGCAGAGCATCAATCAAGCGAGCCATGGATGATCTTTGGAACACGTTTTCTGTGATTGGTAGTGACGACTGCTTTGCACGCCACCCCTAACCCCATGAGGCCCCACAAAGCCTACTCTTTTCCAGAGACCACTACAATCAGGGACTGAGTAGTTTGGTCCCATATCGCCTGTATGCTGTAGAAGAAAGAAAGCCTCGCACCACATGCAGGTTTCCTTAGCTGACAATGCTCTTTGCTGGGGTGAGATCGCTGATAGTCATTCAGATTGATATTGCTCCTTGTACCTGATGCCCCGCGTGTTTCCAGGCCATGGTAACCTAGACTAGTTATATAGGTGGTGTAGATTGTTTGCACACACTGAAGTATCCTCGTGGTTTTCCATAGTTCTTCCTGCCATCTTTTGGTGTGCTGGTGCTCAGGAGACCTACTTGGTGCCCAACAAGGTTGGGACAATTTGCTGGAGCGAGGACAGTTGGCAGATCGTGTTTGATCCCATTTTGGTCACTTGACTCTGGTGATTTCTCCTTTGATATTATTACTAAGCACAACAGGCAGACCAGAGTGGAATCACGAAAAGATTGCTTTTGATGCTCCCTCAAACAAATGCACCTTCTTCATTGGTGGTTGGCCGCCTCGTGGTTGGTTTGATGATGTTTGATGTCAAAGTGTCATGGGGTTGCTCAAAAGCCGTGTGACCTAGCCAGATCCATCCAGCATTTCCAATTTTGCAGGCATGCACACCTTGTGACATGCTCAGGGCGCTGAGAAGCTGATTGTGGCTTCCCTGGATGACCGTCTAGCGCGGGGAGCCTGGAGGGCGTCCAATCATGGCTCTCTCTTTGGCCCGCTTGGAGGTGTTATGGCCCGGATTGGAACTGAACCTGTGTTGCTTTACTTCAGTGTTTGTTGTTTGCATGCTGGTTGTATGAAGGTTGTTAGTAGTTAGCGGAGCTTCACTGGTTTTGTGGGTTGAAAGCATTTAACCGGTGAACAAGTAAAGGAAACGTGGTTCAGATCGAATTAGATCAGCAAAGGGTGGCTACTCACATCATCCTGGTGACCATTCCAAATTGGATTATATACTTGGATTGCAACGGGTAAGGGCATTGCAACAACTTACACATGTGTTTGATTGTTTTCCCCATATCGCTGAAAACTTCATTGTTTCCACCACCATATTCTTTGGATTGTTTGGTTGTCATGGATTGATTGGGCAGCCAGCCCAGGAACCAGCTGTCGAGGACTTTTGTCTCGGCGATCTTGGTGGTTGCTAAAAAGGGTCGGTTCGGACACGGCGCATCGACAGGTCCAGCCTGCTTGTGTACCACAAGACATCACAAGACCTTGATGTCTCAGGGAAGAGCATGGCAATTCCCTGTCAGGATGGTTCTGATGGTTCCTGCATGGTCTTTTAAAAGAATGCAAGACATAGCAAGACAATCTAAAAGTCCTCAAGATGACTTCCAACTCTGCAAGTTTCTCTTGTGGAGCAGAGGATTTATTCTAGTGATTGTGCACCCCCAGCAGTGTAAGGTCGATGCCCGTGTGCCCTTCAACAGTGGCGTTCGGATGCCTCGGGTCCTGCAAAGTGTGCAGGGTATACTACCGCTTGAACAGCAGAAGTATCGGGTATTCTTTAGAGGAGGATGGTTCGTCAGTCATGTGTTTGTTGTGGTGTTGAAACACCTTGCCGAGAAAGCCAGCCATTTTTTCAGCCTTGGTCAACTTTTAATGACTAGCCAGCAACACAAGTTCAGATGCATTTTGAGTGAGGGCAAGAGCAACAAGCAATTTTGGCCAGCTATTCAAAAACATTCAAAAACAAAGCAACATGCGCTGGGATGTGCTCAGAAGCGTTATTCATTGCTGATCACGGGGTCACATAAATATATATTTGGGGGTGTACCCCCCCAAAAAAAGTACACCTGTCCTTGTCTCCTGATTTCATTAGCGGGAATTTACTTATAGATTGCTGCTTAATTTTCACTTGGCTGATGATATGATGATTGTGGATGTACCCCGCTCCCCTTCGGACATTTGCTTGAACAATGTTTGCGTCCTGAGAGCTGTGTCCTCTCCCTTCCTTTCATGTATGTTTAGGGAAGTCAACTTTGTGAGATTTCGTGATAGGTCCTAGCAATATGGCTGGAGTTTCGTGGGGTATCTAGGCCCCTGGCATGTCAGACCCCTCCCCAAGCCACGCAAAACGATCAGGGCGTTCTCCTCCAGAAGCTTTGCTGTTGCGCAATTCTAGTATTGCCCAACCCCCCATCCTTTTTTGAGTTAGACCTGGTGATTATCGATTGCAATTGATGCTAAATCAGAAAATGCAAAGTTGATTCACATTGGACGATTTGGATTCATTCAATCTGTATATCATATTGCAAACACAATATAATGAGTGGCTAACCTATGCAAAATCTTGTGAAGTGCCATAAATCTGTGTGATCATGGAGACAACTTCTCCATTCAAACACCATTCGACGACTTCGACGTATTCTCCTCTTTACACCGCAAAAAGCAGTTGCGACATCGGCGCCATTCGAACGCCGAAATCGGTGCGTCCCGTCGTCCGGGTCCCGAGGTGTTGATCTTGAAATCCTCGCCACGGACGCGGGGGCGACCCGGAGCGACCGAGTCCAGCGCGGTGCTTGTTGGGGGAGACCGAAAGTGACTGCAAGACACCCCGAGATGAGGGGTGTTTGGACAATGTTTTGACATGGAAAGGATCACCAAATGCCCCTGAAGGCTTTTGTGTGAAACATTGATTCAGGTCAGAAGGGCTGTTGGCAAAGGGTGTCCAGGAACAACAACATAAGTAAGTTCCAGATCTGTGGCCCAGGGCTCACAACAAGCAAACATTACACTATATCAGTCAGTTTCCAAAACCAAACTATCAGAATCCATGACGTTTTTTGTGGAAGTGGACTTCGTTTGCGAGTCCGCTGAGGTTGATGATCCTGGATGAAGTCTTTAAATTAGGCGACCGGTGGCCGGGTTTCTGGGGAGACCTGCCCTCGTTTCGGAGCAGCTCTCCATGCGACTCGCATGGACCCGGTGCCTCTTCCCCACTCGGACGGTGGTCCGTCGCACCGCCCGGACGGATGAAAACCGGGCGGCACGGAGCTGGAATCTATCGAGGAGATGGGTGGAGATGGGGTATGTAGGGTGTCCTACACTTTCCCGCCAATTTGGGGTGTTTTGGTGTGTTTCATTGTGTTTCCCATTTGCCAAGTGTGGAGTTTTCATGAGACATGTCCCCTCTAATTAACACATCAATCCCTCTCAACACGTGGGTGTTGATGCCACAACTTCACCAGGCCGCCGCCTAAAACTGGTGAACGGCTACACCTGGCTGCCGGGACCTGAGAAAGTCTCACGGCTCACGGATGTGAAAACGGAACGAACCGATTTGCCGGTAGATTCACAGAGACTAAGATCCAGGAAATTGGTTGCCTCAACATGCCTGAACAGATGTTTGTTTTGCTTCAACTGTTGATTATCCTCCTTCAGCATTGGAGTTTTGGGTTTGCGGTTTCAATACTTCGGTCTTTGCCTACATAGATATATATATATGTAATTGTGAAGCTGTAGTCTTTTTTTGCCCTGGGGAGAAGGACCTTTGCTTCATGTTTCTTTGTGTTTATGTATATCCAGTGGCGACCGTGGTTCAAAACCGTTCAGATCGATGTTGAGTGACTCAAGGAGTTGAGTCGCTCTGTGCCACGGTCCAAGAAAGACAGCGAGCTCGCCAGAAAGGTGCTTTGTGGAGGGCCATGACGTTCAAAGCCGAGCCGCCAATGTTGGACGATTTCATCCGCGGCTGAGCAGTTCACCCGTCCAGCACCCTCCGCCCAAATGGGAGGCTGCAGGCTCGCCGCTTCCGCTTTCACAAGCGGAGGAATCTGTCAAGTCCACTGCAGTGTGAGCCGTTGCGGCGGGAGAAAACAGAGTTCGAGCTCAGTCTCCCTCCCATGGGACTCGAACAAGGCTGAACTCGAAGAATTACATGGAGCGTTTGCTAGCTGCAGAGCCAGTTGGACGGCGCACTGATTCAGGCCTGCCAGAGCCACGGGAGAGGCTTGCTCATGCTAGGAATACTGTGCCATGCCCAATGCCCATGATCAATGCTGCAGCGCAGGCAAGCGCCAGTGCGGCAGGTGACCTAGCGACAAAAGAACTGGCGGACGTGGTCTGTCAAGAGGGCAAAGGAACACCCGTAGTGCTGTGCAAGATTGACCCCAAGGCGAAGCATGGCGAGAAGCGACGGGTGGTTGGCGCCAAAGTCGGAGGCTTCACCTTGGTCCTCCAATCATTTGTGGATGTTTTCTCCGTAGAGCAGAGCAATCTGGCTCCGTCAGAATGCTGTCGATTTCGGATCGAGAAGTTGCACTACATCAGCCAGTGCGCCATTGCCAAGGCCGACGCCGCACGCATGTCGCCTGAGATATCCTGAGACGATCAAGTGCACTAGGACCGTCATGATCACGTCCACAACACAGCGAAGGGTCGGCGAAAGGACCTTGCACAAGACCATGCAAGAATATGATGGACAGGCAGACAGCAAGGATCACAGCTTGCTAGATCACAGCTTGCCTGCCCAAAGCTTGATGACAAATATGATATGTACGACAAATTGATGCTTTGAGATCACCTCCATCAAGAGCCTGTTGGGTTCATCGGAGGCTTCAAACCTAATTCAACCTGAAATCGTCTTCACTGTTGGGATTCGGGAGTGGACATGAAGGAGAAGGTGCATCCGGTTGTGTCCAGATGTACGCCCATTAAAAAAAGAAGCAGCCAGGTGAGAACCGAGCACCATTCGTACACGATACCATGGTTATATACGTAAACCATGTAAATACCAAGACCAATGGAGTCCAAATAGATGTGTATATATATATATATGGAGCATATATATATATATATATATACAGTGTAACATGATAATATAATACTCTGTACACGATATGATACCGCGGTTCTGAACTACCAATTTGTAGCCAGAGGCCACTGGGCGTCCATCCGCACTTCCCACTGCCCGCCCGCCCGCGCGCGTGCAGCATCCGCCTCCGAGGCCGCGCATCACCGGGCTTTGGGACCAGGAGAGCAGCGTGCAGCGCAGGGGGGTGCTACGGAGGGACACCGGAGGGACTTCTCACCATGGAGGACCACTTCATCCTTGAATCTGATTGATTGAGCTTGAGGGATGTCATCCACAGAATTGTTCGGCTTCCTAGTTTCCTAGGCCAAAGATACACTAAAAGTGATGGCTCTTAACCTTGCAACCAACCATGCAATGGAATGGATAGTGGATGTTCATTGTTTGCAACGGATCCTGCTTTGAATTTTGCTGAGAAAATCCAATTGAATCTGCCAAACTAACTGTGTTGATCAGTTGTATTCAACTATTTGTGTGAGTCATGCTTGGAGTAATCTAATTTAGAAGTCGAAGAAGATTTATAGGAAACTCTTGGGGTTCCAATGCTTTGGGGTCCAAGATTAGTGCACAGGAAGTTTGCAGAATCCAGAACTTTCTCGCAGCGGCGCAAAGTGTTTTTGCAAGACACGACAGATGTCAGGCCGCATAAGTATGAATACCTGATTCTGGTTCCGGATGCCTGGTTCTGCACGCGAAGGGTTGCACGCTGGGACATTTCAGGTCCAAACTGTGGCCAGTGTTTCGTCACATTGCCGTTGTTTGCGCGACATTGTCGTGGGTTGCACGACCGTACGTTGACGTGCATGAAATGAACTTGATATGTAGTGCAGTGCATGGCTCCAAGTGGGTGTGCCAGCACCTCCATGCAAAGAAGTATGTAATTATGCTGCGTCGGCGGCTTTGAACCTGCAAAGATTCTTACTATATCCGGTGCTGAAAATCTCCAGGCGAGCGGCAAGGCAAGGTCTTTTAATTTGGTTAAAAGTCAGAGGATCATACCAGGGACTGCAAGAAACTTGCTATATAACTTTCTCAGAGAGTTGGAGGCCATCGGTTTCCTACTTGCTAGAACCAGAGATGAGGAAGCAGAAAAGATGAAATTTGTCTCCCTGCATTGTGTGGAAGACGGTGCCAGGCATGCCTCAAGGATTCTCACCCGTGCTTTATTCCCATGTCGGGCAGCTATGGGGTTTGGGTCAAACTTGCCATGTCGGGCCAGCGCCCAAGAACAAGCAGACCATGCTGTAGTTCTAGAGAGATGTCGCGGCATTTTTGCACAACATGTCCAGTGAATTTGAGTCCTTCAGCTGCCGACTACGCGCACAATCCGGCAACTCGTCGAAATGCGACACAAAGCCAGGACGCCTTCGCAGAATATTTGCAGCTTTGGGGCGACCAGAACTTTGCGTGCCGGCCCAGAGCCATCTCAGAAGTGTTCCCAATTGGCTCACAAAAAACTGGCACTATTGCACCGCGCTTTTCCTTTTTGTCCCTTTTTTGACAGTCTTGCGTTTCCTTTTACTGTAGTTCTTTCACCTGATGTGAAAGGTGTTCCACATCTGATGCTCTGCAAAACAGACCTGCGGAACTCATCGGTCGGCCAAGTCTGGCACTGAGGTCCTACTCCCACATGGCCGGCTGCAATCCTATGCTCGAGGCCGTCCGAGCATTGCCTCGGTTGGCCAAACACTTCAGAAAGAGGTGCATGTTCGATGAAATCCACGACCTACTGGCAGCAAGCTTGTCTTTTTGTGCACCAACGAAAAGGAACTCCTTTTCTAATCTTTTCTCCATGTAAGTGATGCCTTCTTTTGTTGAGTGTTTTTGCTATGTTTTGCTCAGGTGCTTCCGTGGTTCTTTCACACAACACGAGGTTAACCCCCAGGTGGTTCTTCCGGACACGGCGTTTCTCCTCGTCCTGTTGAGGCAATTGGCCTGACGCATCTCTGTCAAGTTCACTCTTGCACTTCACAGGAACCGTTGGTGTCGGAACATATGGTGGGTGTCGGAACATACTGGGGGCGACTTGCGAAACTCGACAGTCAAACACATATATATATGGGAAAGCATTTGTTAATCTTGCCACTCTCATGTTCGAAACATGAGCTTGTTCTCCAGGTGTTGGGTCTGGTATTTGGATACCAACAATCACATATGATCTCAGACTTGTGCCATTCACTTTGACCTTGGACCATTTCTGTGTGTGAAAACCCTGGACCACAGGCGGTCAGATTTTTGAACCAGATCAAAAGCCCTTCACCTGTCCCCAATGGTTCTCAATATAGAGCACTAGTAAGTAGTTCCACTTCCACCCGTCTTCTCTAGGACTTGCTGAGCTGCCGGAGCACCAACGTGCGGAAGCCCAGCCAAGCTGGTCGTGAAAGCCGAGGTCGTGAAGTGATTCTGGTTTGGAAGGTTGGTTGAGTTCAGAGTTGGGGACAAGTCAAAACCCGGAGCCCCAACACCCTGGTATAGGTTGACCTTCCAGGTAGGTTTGCATCTTTGTGTAGAGGATTTCTACCCCACATCCCTGGCACCCAACCTGTGGTTGAAGGTGGGACGCGTTCAGACACGTGCGTAAGATTCATCGGTAGGTCAACCAGGCTATCCTGATGCATCCTGGTTCTGACCCACAGCCAATTCGGTGTGCTGAGTGCTTTAACGTCTGGTGCTTCGAAACCTGGGCAATTGCTGCATACATCCCCATGAACATCGCTCGCCATCCTGAGCAAGGGGATGTCAAAGCGTAATTGACAGTTGATCAGGTCACAGGTTGAGCAGGTGTTGATTCCAGCCGGTCACAGTCCCCGTCTCAACAAAGTACTAGGGTGGGGGGCAAACGAAGACATAAAAGACGAGACATCCCACACACCACAGACAGAAAGTCACTCCTATCCGCCCTGGACAGCAAAGTCGGGGCACGTGGCTTCATTCAGAACCCAAGAAAAAGCACCACGCCGAACAAATTACCGGGTCTGTTGCGTCAAGCCCACTGCGCCGCACCAGCCATCCAATTTCCGGCACATCTCAAAATTCACCCAATCTGAGTGGCGCAAGCCTTCCCAGTTCAGACCCACAGGACTTGGCAGGCAGGCGCCACAAGCACGTTCGCTCAGAATCGCTTCGGCCGCATACGGAAGAAGAGTTCTTTGTTTGGCTGTTCTGTCTGGTGAGGTGCTGCTACTTTTGCACGGCTGGAGGCGCCGGGTTGGTTTTGAGGAAGGGCGGTTCCGAAGCAGTCTTAAAACCCGTGGGTTTTGTTGGCTGGAGAAGATCAGACACAGGCACCATCCAGAAACCACACGTTGTAGAGCGCATCTTGTGTTTTGGCCCATGGCTTTTGCCATCTTTTGCCCCATTGATTCTGCTTGTAAATTGACATGGGAAGCTGGGGGCAACGAGCCATTGCAAAAACATCATTATAGTCACGGACGGCCAGTAGGCAGGGAATTTTCTGCTTACTACCGTCCTCCGGGGGGTATATTTGAGCATTTTCCCTAGGTTTATATATAGAGGGGTATGTGGAGACCACAGTAGTAAGCAGAAAAATATCACCGACCAAAACGATGCCGGCACATCATTTGCTTACTGCAGTGGTTCCTTTGTCCCCTTTCCTTCTCTCTCTCACACTTCCCCCGTCCAATTTGGACGCATTCTTGCGGTGATTGTGCTTTACTGCATGTGTATATATATATATAGTTATGTGCACATAAGACTAGGGGTTAGAGAGGCGGTTGGGAGATGGTAGAGGAATGGAGATGTGCAAAGACATCACACGATTGAATTCGCAAGAGGCAACGTGGATCATCAGCAATCAGCAATATCCATGCATTGTTGCCGGAACCCTGAAAATGATGAGAGGAGGAGGAATGAGGACAGGAAGGTGAGGAAGGAGATGGCAGCGAGGGAGGTAGAGGATGGCTAGTGGAATGCCTTGGAAATTGCTGTGGAACCACAGCTTTTGAAGCCGTGCCCCTGCAATGAGGAACCATTTGTGGAACGGACTGCAGTAAGCATATACCAATCTGCTTACTACTGATAGGTGCAGTGAAGAGAAAACACCAAGTATCAATGTTGGATAACAATTGCTACAAGAACATACTGTACACAATGACCTAGTTGTGGAAATTGCTGGAGCAGATACAGAAAGATGTAGGAAGAGGGGGAGCTATTTTGTAGAATGGGGGGCAGTGAGCATAAGCCAATCTGCTTACTACTGCTGTCCGCAGTGTACCCACCAAAATGACAGGAACACCGTAACTTAATACCCGAAGCAGTAGTCTACCTCACCTCAACCGTTGGAAACAAGTTCCACTGGAATAATGTTCTAGTTGTGGACAATTGTAAGGGAGAGAAAGACACGGAAGGACACGGGAAGCGGGGAGAAGGGAAGCGGCAAATTGAAATGTGAAAGAGTGCATGGAAGGCATATTGCGGTGCTGTTTATTTGTGGAGCGCGAGCCCGGAGCAGTAAGCAGAATCTGATCTGCTTACTACTGTGTCCCCAACAAAGGTTTATGATACACCCTGATCCTCTCACAGGCCACCTGAACCGTTGGAAACAAAATCCTTCAACCATAGCGGCCAGAAATCTATTTCCTTTCCCTTAAAGGGGGAGACCACTGACGGTGGGGCAGTGAACCTTGTCTCTTCCCTTTACAGGGGGATTCCCGGTTTCGATGCCGTGACTTCGTCCCGGGGCTCGACCGGCGGGTTCGCGGCAGTGACCCTTGTGCGACCGGACCGATCGATCCTTGGGACGATACACTTCCCCACCGTCAGTGGTGACCCCACAGTCGACCCCGACAGGGGGAGAGGAGAAAAAGTGCAGAAAAAGTAGTTGATTTTTAATTCTTAGTTATTTTCTGGGTCATATTCCTTCAGTTCCTGTCTTTCCTTGATGTTTGGAGAGTTTTGAGGCCACTTCTTAAAATTTAGGATTTTTTGAAAGATTGTGAAAAATCAATATCTTTAGATAGTTTGCTGGTCTAATTCATTTTTTCCTGGCTTTCCTTGATGTTTTAAGGATGTTTAAAGAAGTTTTTGACATGTTCGATTTTTTCAGGAAGGTTGTGAAAATTGAGAATTTTGATGATTTTAAGGAAGAATTAAAGGAATCGGATGGAAACGGGTGCACATATTCATCTTAAAGAGCTTTTAATGAAGATAGTAAATTTTGAGGAAATCGCATGATCAGCATCATTTGCATTATCGGCATCAAGGGTTCCACTGGGATAACATGACAAACAGCAGCAGTAAGCAGATTCCAATCTACTTACTGCAGTTGTTTCTTGTCCTACCTTAGCTCAAGGACGCGTCAACATTATTCATATATATATATATGTATTTGTATATATATATATATATACACTTCTATATACACATGGCAAACCACTGCAGTAAGCAGAAAGTTGTTGAGACATGTTCATCGGGGAGACCACTGCAGTAAGCAGATAGTGAACACATATTTTGCTATCATGGCGCTACTTTGAACACCATCCGTTTACTGGTTTGAAGTGGAAGATTTCTGCCTACTGGCCGTCCGTGACTATAAATCCAATGAATATCTTGATGATATGACACCAGAATGATACAGACAAAACGACAATATTAACAGAATTGATCGATCCAATGTTGACAGGCTTGGAACCACGAAATGCAAAAAGGTCCAAAATATATTATGATAAATATTGATATATGATGAATATATATTATATATTAATACTTTTTATATCCTATTGCTGGAATATCATTTTTATAAGGCGAGGAATTATTGAATGATTACTTCTAATTTGACAAATTTTCGATTGATTATGTTAATTTGTCGATTGTAATATTTGAAATTATTACGATTTGCTTCGTCGGAATGATTTTTGATATGGATATATGTTTTTCATTTTTTTTAACATATTATTTATTTTTATTAATTACGAAAGCTAGCGAAGCTAGCTGGAGTTATTTTTGCGATAGTAAGGTTTCTTTCGACTTGGTATAAATTTTAACCCTTGATTTTTTTAGGTCGAAGACTTCTTCCCTTCCCCCCTCCTCTCCTCCTTTTTTCTCCTCCTCCCCTCTTCCTTTCTTCTCCTCTTCCCCTCTTCTCCTTCTTCCCTTTCTTCTCCTTCTTCTTCTTCTTTTTCTTCCTCCTCTTCTTCCCTTTCTTCTCCTTCCTCCTTTTCTTCCCCTTCCTCCTATTTTCCTTCCCTCCCTCCTCCTTCTTCTTAAGTTCGACTCCGTCTTGTCGTCGTTCTTTGGCATGTGGTTAGCGTTGCGTATTTTGCGGCCTTATTGTTTTATTGCTCCACTGTCTTTACTATTTCTTCATTGTTTCTTTATTGTCTCCTTATTATCTCCTTATTATCTAATTATTGTTTCTTTACTGTCTCCTTCATTATTTCTTTATTGTTTTTTCTCTCTCTTATCTCTTTCTTATTTCTCTTTCATTTCTCTCTTATCTTTCTTTTATCTCTTTCTTATCTCTCTCTTATCTCTTTCTTATCT